GGGAGAGAGAGAGAGGGGGGGGGGGATGAAGGAGGAGAGATGAGGAAAAACCGCGTATCGTGCGGCGGAAAGTTTCTGGAGTTGTTTTAGATCGAGGGTTGAAACGGATGCGAGAAACACGTCCAAAATTTCAGAACAGGAAGAGCACAATTGGGAAGTTGGGAAACAGCAGGACCGTTGAAGCACCCAGCCCAAGGTAGGTCAAATGACAGAAGAACCGGGCGTAGGAGGTAGATATGTGTATGTAACTGTGAAAAGGAAAGAAGTATGGCACTATGTATGGAAGAAGTTCGAGTGGGTAAGACCAATTTCAAGACACCACTTTTCGTGTAGATATGTACAGTACGAGAGGAACTGCAAATAAAAATGAAGGATGACTGGGGCCGGATTGGATAAAAGAATGATTCAACGTTGATAGAAGGAGAGAGGAAGGAGAAGAAGAAATGAGGCTAACGTTATATGGAGAGAGAGGGTGAAGGGGCAGAAAAAGAAGAGGTGGTGGAGGTGGTGGAGGTGGTGGAGGAGGAGGAGAAAGACGAAGATAAACAATGATTTTAAAAGGGAGAAAAATGAATTCATTACTACCACTACGTACTCTACACTGTACAGTACTACTCGACTCTCACAACCATGACTAGTCAACTAGACTAACACTAACTAACTTATACTTCGATGCTGGGGAAGTGGGAAAATTGCAGGTATCGTGGGTCTAAGGTTGTTGTCAGGTAATGTTACTTCTTAGGAACTCAACCCAGGAGTACAGAACAGTACAGTACACAGTATTCTCACGATGCCGTGGGGGCCGGCCTGCTCTAGCCTCCCTCCCCTACTGGGTCGACTTGTCCGCCGTCCTAGGAATTAACTACTAACCAAGCACGTACTTCGTACGGCCTGAGTTATCTATAATTTGCGCCATTGTCGGCTGCTACAAGCATAGGGTAAGGTGTCAAGTACGTTGTAGATGTGATTTGGAGTAGATACCTGGTAAATACTAAGTATTAGTCATTGTTGTAGAATCCATCCATAAATGTTCTTCTACTAAGACTACCGCAACACCTTCTTAGTAACAATAATACCAACCTTTCCGATCCCAGTTGTGGGCTACTGGAACTTTATAATCTACGCGGAGCTTTCAGCAGTATACTAACTAGTAGATACCTAGCTACATGGTACACGATAGGTATGCACTGTTTGACAGTTAAGAGAAACCAGGTGGTTCTGGGGGGGGGGGTGGAAGGTCAAGGTCATCCATCTCCATGGAAATAATACTAAGTATGATTGATAGCTTCCAACAAATCGGTCAAAGTATCCGGGGAACCGACGAAGAATTGCCCTTCAATCATGGACTATATCCGGTGCGTATGTAAGTACTGTACAGTACGCTCGCTGCCTTCTGATAATCCCTCAACTGTTGCCCACACTGACCCACGGAACCCGCCTTCTGCTGGCTCGATCGGCATTCGGCATTATCCTGAGTGTGTAGTCTCAAGACTACGTGCGGTCTATTTCTACTCGTAGGTCAGTTACAATTTATATAACTATGTATAAGTAATGGCCCATGTCAATATTGCATAGCCTTCCCAAAACTCCCACTTCCTACGTAAATCCGTATATACACTAATCCGGACCCCAAGGTTTGGGTTTTCGGGTCCTCCCTCTTCCTCCTCTATGCTACGGGCAGAAATAGAATAACGATCCCTCCAGCCCTGGATTGCAGGCGATGATCCCGCGGGGAGAACTCATCCTTGGGTCAGTACCAGCGGTGGATTTTGCAGTGAAATTTTATGGGGGACGGGGCGGGGGGTTGCCCTTCACTGCAACAAGAGATGGATACACGAGCTGAGCTGGAAACTGTCCGAACCCCCAAGGAGCACCCAGGTACGTACTGTATGGACGGCCAGTACAGTGAAAGTCCCCGGATCCTGCCACCATATAGTTTCGCAGGCATCAAGTTGAACGAGACATTAGGTCAATGTGACCTTCCATTGATCGTTTGCTTGAAGGCACAGTGAGGGACTCGCATGCATGTATCCACCATGTGTGCGCATTTTCAGCATCTATGTATGAGATTTGTAAGTACTGTACACACTTCCAACTTCCGAGAATGTTAGGTGATTTGCATCGTACAGAATGTGCATATTATGCAATAGTAGTGGCTGGATGAATAGTCCATCCACCAACTCGACTAGTCATGTCTGTCTACGCATAAGTAGATACTGAGTAGAGAAAGATCGTGGACTCCATTCAGCCCCAGTTCCGACAATACGAGACGTCAGTTCAGGCACCACCGGATCTTCATTCGCTTCTACTGGCTGTCGGACCCGTTCCAACGTCCTCTCCACCACTCACCAGAGAAACTCATGCTAGCCCTAGATTCTAGGTGCTTGACTGGACGCCTGACGGGAGCTCCTCGGCCTGGCTGAACTTTGCCAATGCCTAGCTGTGGGCCGAGGATGTCGAATCGAGTTGAGTGGGATCGAATTGCAGCAGGCATACCTAGCGGATTCCATCGGATGTCCTTCCCAAGGGAACGAAATGTCAACAAGTATCATTTCACAAACGCGGGAAGAGTAGCTCTTTGACCCATGGTTCTAGGAACCTGGATAGAAGCCTGACGGGGCGCCCTCAATAATCAATACCACGACGGGACGTCGGTAATCTCCATCGGGCTGACAGTTTCCATCACATTCCGCGGGTTGCTGCTGCTGCTGCACCTACGGAAGGAGAGACCAGATACCGTAGTTTTGCCTAGGCTAGAAGGTGGGTGGGAGGCATAAAGATATCCACTTAACGTGGTGGGATCAGACTCATCATATTTATATTATCGAATCGACACGCGATCATCCTGGTCGGACCCATCGTAGATTCATGCAATGACCAGGAAGCCGGGGTTCACTCAAAATGGGATTGTACGAATAATAGGGACGGAAGTACAGTAGTCGAAACCGAGAATCGGGGATCTGGATTGTGTGCAATCACTGCAATGACTGTTGTTCTCGTTCCTTATTACTAAAAGATGGTAAGGGAGTATTATTGTCACTTCGTTACCTTATTGCCTCCCTCCTCCCCTTCCACCTTCTTCTTTCTGCGCTTCCGGCCTCGGACCCGAATCCAAGCCCCGTGTGTCTCACTGTTCTGTCTTAAAGTGACTTCGGCATTTAACTGGAAATACCAGCCAACAGGACTTCAATTAATGGAGGTGGAAAAGGTACGAGGTAAACTACGAAAAGAAAAGAATGAATTAAAAAAAACCAAAGGAGAAAAAAGCACGCGGAACCCTCCTTTTGGGTGACACCAAAGAAGACCGCATCATGTCAGGAACAGGAAGGACGCACACCGCTTGGGGTACAATACCTGCAGAAGCTCGTGCAGCTCAGGCACGTTCCAGTTCCGATTCTTATTTTCTTTTCTGTTCTTCCCCCCATAAGTAATCTCATACATTACTCGGTATATGACTCGTCATT